AGCTCGCTAAGGAGGTAAGTGGTCCAAAGGGAATGGACCAACTCAATGAGGTCACAAAGAGGGCAGAGAACAAGCTGAGAAGTGAGGTCAAGGGAAAAGAAAAAGGGGAGAGAAAGACACGAGCAGAGTGGAATGACAGACCCACACCATAAGGAACTCTCAGTTTCTGCCAGATCAATAGGGAGCTAAAATTGGGTCAGTGATGCAGGTCATTGGTGCTGAAGAGGTTTAAAGAATGCTGAGGCTTGGGTGGGAATGAAGGCCTGGAAAACTTTGTTGATGACAGTTAGAACCCAGAGAATGCTGTGCCTTACAGAAAATAAACTTTGTTGAGTTTTCTAAATCAGATATGTGTATGTGTGTGTAAACACAGATGCTGGTATGTATCTTAATTACCTACAAATGGTCTGGACATCCCTAAGTAATGGCTAATCCCCAAATGTTAGATTATGTGTAATTCAAACCCTGATACGCTGGATGACACCCTGCAGGTGTAACTCTGGAAGAACGAGCAGGATGAGGAACCTTCCCTTTTTATACGTAACATTTACCAAGTACCAATCTTTGGCCAGAGAGATGGGGACAAGGAGAGTTTTTCATGAGATGTGGGACAAAGGGACAGATTTCAGAGACTTTTCAAACATAGACTCAGCTTTTCAAAGTTGTCTAAGAACTGGTCAGGAATGGGAGAGAAGGAGGAAAGAGCGTCTAAGGTGGAATGAGGCAGAGAGTTGGTTCTCATTTCCCCTCATTTTACAGATGAAGAAACTAAGGCTCAGGGAAAATCAGACTGCCCTGTAGCCACACGACTTGTAAGGGGCAGAGCTGGGGTTTTATTGACTGATCTGCCTGCCTGGTGCCCTTCCCAGTACATTACTCTCCTCGCCTTCCTGCCATTCTCCACAGGACCTCCTCACACTCCAAACCACTGGACTGAAGATACCCAGCTCACCCCTCATGCTCTTCTTTTCCACCTTTCCCCTGTGTCAGTGAACTGTGCACACTCATTGATTCCTGCCAGGGCGAGGAGTCCCTCCCAGTGTTTGTGCGACGGTGTTTACAGACCCGGCTCATCGGCCTGTCTCACTGCCGTGGTGCTGGGTTCACCTGCCAGCCTCCCATTGGACTGAGTTCTCTGATGGAAAGGACAGGGCCTCGGAGTCTTTCTACTCTCAGTGCTTCGCACAGCACCTGACCCCGACTGGCTGCCCAGCAGATGTTAGTCAAATGAAGAGCTGTATTAATAGGCTTCATTCCAGGTGGCGCCCACAGTTAACAATATACCGTAAAATGCCAACAAAGGACATTATAACCAGTTTTATGCCATTACTATATGAAATATTTAAAGATAAAAGTGTAATGGAAACTTACATACTTGCATTTGTTTGGATGGAGGGTTCAACTAATTCTCCACCTGACATCATGGTTTGTTTGGTCTTTTCTTCCTGAGCCCAGAATGTGCTAACACACACCAGCTTTGCCACCCCATCCTGACGCCAAGCAGCCTGCCATAGCTGCTTTGGAGGCAGGTCTTCTCTTGGAGGACCCAGCCAATGAAGCCAGGAGTTGGCTCCTAAGAGGGGATTGGCTGATGGATCCAGGAGCTGCCTCCTTGCGGAGGATGGCTCCGGGAAATAGCACACTGGAGAAGGGGGCCAGGTGGGCGTGTGAGGTGATGCAGCTTTCAGCTGCACCTCAAAGAACAACAGGGACTCCGGGTTGGCAGCTCTTCTGCAGGGCCTCCTTCTGTAGAGCTCTGTTGGAACCTCAGTCGGTGCGGGGGCGGGGGGGGGGCGGTGGAGACCTACTAGCTGTGACCTGAGAGTTCCCAGTATTTCTGCTTGCACAATATAGTGCCTTAGGCTTTCCATGGAAAAAATTTTAAATTATATTGGAGGTTGAGAAGAAAGATTTCTCAACTTTTTTTTCTTTTGATGTGTTGACAACCCCTTCAAAAATGGGATCTCATATCGCAGACACTGTGTGAATGACACCGCGAGGTCTTGCGTATAGGGTCACTCGGGGCTGTGAGCCTTGAGTAATGATCCACCAGAAGTCAGTGAGATGACAGGAAATGTGACAACTCTTCATCTGCTATCAGTCATCTTGTCACCCGAGAACACAGCCCACTCATTCTGATATGTGGCACCTCAAAAGATTTTTTCCATTATAACAAATTATCCTGGAGGAATATCAAGGCCCCATTGTTTTTTATTTAAAAGTCGTAAGGCCTCGAAGATGTGCAAGTGACATGATATGAAATTCATATTTCTCCTCGCAGTTTTTGTGCCTTCACCGCAATGATAAAAATCACTTTGTTCTCCAGTTGGAAGCCATGGGAAGAATCAAGGCATTGTGTGGATTACTTAAAATTCCACTGTGCCTGCACCATTGGGCCAAAGAATGCTGAGAATTTGCCTCTGTTGGTCCACAAAAGGCTCCTAGTGGGGCAGGGCTGCCGCTGAACACACAGCTGTTGTTCATTTGAGCTGAAGATTTTTAATTGCCTTTGCGTCAAAATTTATTAAATAACATTTTAGAGGAACAAAAACTGTAATAGTCGGACTCGTGGAATGCTGAAGGAAGAAAATCATTAGAGCGCCGCATTTTTGCCTTGTAAGCCGAGTCTGAAAATACCTTTTCCACATGACTGGCTTCCAGCCATCCCAAGAGAAGGGTTTCCAGGTGAATCCGGCCACAGAAGCCCCGGAGGCTTCTGCAGGGGCTCAGCCCCTCATCGTCCTTACTTTTTTATCTGGAAGCACTTCGTGCCTGAGTGACCTCTTGTTGCCATACTCCCCCTCCATTTCTATTATCGTAGGAGATGCATCCTGGTGCTCAGAGCGAGTGTGGCACTAGCTGGGGACCAGCTGCTCCTCCTGAGTGGTCTGCCTTCTTTTTGTGAGCCTCTGTAACCGCTGCTTTCCTGTTCCGTCTAGCCCACCCACGACAGTCCCGTGAGGTGTCGGAACCTTTCCGGATTAGCGGACAGCGGAAGGTAGAAAACGTGGACCTTTCCTTTATTTTCTGCCAAGGCAAAGGAGAGAAAAGATGAGGCCCTTCTAACAAGGAACAACTAAGCTTCCCTCAAGAGGGAAGTTGCTAACTGTCCTGAGAAAGGCGTTTTGAATATGAAGAGAGGCGAACCAGGGAAATGGCAGAATAAGTCATAAATCCTCACTACCATGTTAACATCTCCACCACATTTTGCACTTTCGCGTTCAATATTCCCTCTAACAGGAAAAAGTTCCGTTCCTCAGGCACTTATGAAGCACCAACTGTGTACAAGGTGCGATACTAGTGAGGGACCTGGAGGCCAAGTGGCAGACAGGCCGAGGGCACCCATGTGCTGTCGAAACCACTCCCTCCCACGGAGGGGAGGGGAGGCAGGACTGATTCCTGGCAGAAAGGGCAAGCAACTGATGGAGGCCTAAGAGATGAAGAGGATCTCAATAGTTAGAGGAGGAAGGAAGGGCCTACGAGGCTGGGGATCTGGGAGAGCAAAAGCATGGTGGCCTGGAAAAATATGTCTTGTTGCAGGGACAGTATGTAGCAGGACATGCCAGTGTTAGACGAGGATCAGAAATGAAACAAAAAAAGAAAGGTTGGAGAGCTTAAACTAGATTCTGGAAGGTTGACATGCCACTCTAAGGAGTTTGGATCTTATCCTGTGGGGACTGGGAAGCCGTTGAATGCTCTGGAGCTCAGAAGCGTCAATGCTCTTCAGGTGAATCACCCTGCTAGCAGGTCTGCTGGACTCCAGAGCCTCACCCACTGCCCCGTGTGGAGGCGGAATTACTCTTGAGGACCTGCTCTCCCTACAGACAAGCCTGGCTAGCAGGGAAGAGAGGAGGAAATGCCTCTAAGAGCCGGAGTCCAGGCTTCACATCCTTGACTTGCTATAAACCAGCCGTGCAGCTATGGCAGTCAAGTTAATTCTCTGGGCCTCTGCTTCCCCATCTATAAAATAAGGGCAAGAGTGCCTGCCTCTTAAGATTATTTTAAATTAATACATGAAATGCTTAGAACAGTGGGTGGTACAGTAAGCTCCTGATAAAGGTTAGCTATGATTTTACATCTGAAAAGAATATCTTACAACTTAGCAATTGGTTGAAATTGGGGTGAGGGAAGGCAAGAGAAAGAGTCAAGGGTATAATGCTCATCCAAGGAATATGGCTCATACTCAGAACTAATAATAATATTCAGAAAACAGCAGGAAAAAAATCATACTGAAGTTCATTCTACAAAATAATCTTCAAAAGTGTCGAGGAAACATGAAGAAATTTATTCTGTATGGAAGGAGACCAGAAGGACCTGACAACTAAAGGCAATGCTTGATTCTGAATTTGGCCCATTGGCTTCAAAGGACATTACTGGGACAAATCCACTGAAATCTGAATGGGTTCTGAAGATGTAGTTATGTAGCAAGATGTGCTTAGCTCCTTGTCTGGAGGCAATGAAACCAAAGTGTTCTGTAGTGATGAGGCATCAGGTTGGCTACTTACTCTCAAATATTTCAGGAAGTTCTTTATTCTCTACTGATAATTCTTCTCTACAGTTGGGATTGTTTGAAAATGAAAACAATATATTTTAAAAATTAATAGCTAAGATTTGTTGAGCACCCACTGTGTACCTGGCACCGTGGTCAGTGCTTTGCACATGAGCATATTCAGTTCCCCAGGAAACTTCTCTCTCTTCTCTACCAAAAGAGTCCTGCGCCCCTCCCCAGTGCCCCTGGAGCAGCATGAACTCTCCCCACTAGAACACTAAAGTAGCTACCTACTAACTGCTTGTTGTGTATAACACCCGCCAATCCTCCTGCCCTGGACAACCCACTCTTTGAGGGCAAGGAATGTTCCCCCTTCTCCACTGTATCCATAACTCCCAACACAGCTCCCTATAAAGCATAAGTACCCCATATGTGCTTGGTGAATGAAGTGCATAGACTTGTACACCATGGAGACGTGGGACAGGTGTCTGATACATGACTCCTTTTCTAGGTGGCCCGGGCTCTGGCAAAGGCACACAGTGTGAAAAGCTGGTGGAAAAATATGGATTTACACATCTCTCGACTAGTGAGCTCCTGAGTAATGAGCTGGCATCAGAATCTGAAAGAAGCAAATTGATCAGAGACATCATGGAACGTGGCGACCTGGTACCCTCAGTAAGCAACAGCTGCTTTCCCTGGTGGGGGGCGGGGGCGGATATTTGGGAGTGTTGCAGTTAGTGTAAGCTGCTGGAGAAAAGAAGCCCCAAAAGACAATAGCTACATTTTATTTCTCCCTGATGTGAAAGTCAAGAGGCAGGTGGAGGGTCCATAGCAGAGACCCATCTGCCAGACCATGTCCCGGCCCAGGTTCCTTCCACTCTGTTGCTCTGCCAGCCCCTTGAGTGTTAGCCTATCTCATATTCTCCCAGGAAACTGGTCCCCACGTTAGTGTTAAAATCTTCAAAGCAGAGGTGAGCATGCTGCAGCAGAGCCTATAATTAGAACCCTCTGGAAAATAGAAAATAATGTTTTAGTCTAGTTCTGGAAAGTATGATAACATTATCTTGCAATCTGGTATCTTCCTTAGATAGTTTAAGTAAAGAATATCCCTTTCATGCATCTTTTTTCCTTTCAAGTCACCATCCATCTCTGAGCTGATGGATGCCATAGGTATCAAAAAATATTCATTCCTGCCCTACGAGGACCCATGCTAGGCTCTGTAATTAGGGCTTGTACAGTGCAGGCTGTATTAGCTAACAGAGCTTTATGCTTCCTCTTCAACCAGCTACTGTCCCTAGCAATTCTCTCAAGTCAGTGAATATCAACTGTTATAAAATATTTACTGGAAAAAATCAACAGAGAAGCACATTCTGTACCATGTTTTGCCTAGTTTTAAACTGCCATTATGCTTAATTTATGGAGTGTTACCATATGAAATACAGCCACTATATTTCGTCTATTCTAAGATGCTATTTTAAGACACCCCAGTAAAATATAACTGATAAACTATTCCATATATAACTATATACCAGCACAAAAAAACACTATTAAACTGTGACTGATTGTAAGATATCTACCAATTTCATAGACAATAAAATGTGGGGGAAAAGTGAACCTAAGAGTGGATGAAATATGATACATTTCTTTCGGCTGTTAATCTTATCTGAACCTTTCTCCCTTCCAAAATGGGATGACTAGTGGAGATGGGTAGTAATGCTAGTGTTGTTCTGTACAAGAGCTCAGACCCTGACCACTGTCTCTCTGCTCCAGGGCATCATTCTGGAGCTCCTGAAGGAGGCCATGTTGGCCAGCCTCAGTGACACCAAGGGCTTCCTGATTGATGGCTATCCCCAGGAAGTGAAGCAAGGGGAAGAGTTCGGACGTAGGGTGAGCTGTTTTTATGGAGATCTTCCCAGAAGGAAAATAAGGGACATCATTGAGGTTGGGGGATAAATTCAAGTTTATCCCTCTCCTAATTACATTAATCAAACTTTCAGTTGCAAATGGCAAAAACTCAACACAAACTGACCAAAAAAGAAAGGAGTGGGGTAGATGGGTGATAGTGCTGGATTTATTGGCTCAAGTAACTAAAATGTCCAGGAGTGGTTCACACTTGGTTGGACCCATGTATCCAGATTTGTTCATCCATTGTGTGCCTTTCTCCATCTCTTGGATTCCGGTCTTATATTTCACCATCTAAGTGATCTCAGAGAGAGTGTTTTCCTTTTCCAATGTGGGCAGCAGATGACCCAGGGTAGTGTTTCATTATCCTGGATTAGGTCATGAGCCCATCGCTGAACCAATCACTGTGGCCAAGGGGAAGATGGGAGGGCATACAATGGAATATCTAGGAATACACTGATTCATCCTGGAAGACCAGGCTGGGGATGGGAAGGGAGGAGGGAGCACCATACCTGAAGCACTTGGACTGAGAAAGGGAAGGGAAATTACCCAAGAAAGGATAGGGATGCCCTTAGAAGCCAGAAAGGGAATTGTTGCTGGACAGGCAGAGTCAAATGTATGCACTGCTCCAGCCTCCCAGCATCCAACCTCCCCAAATCCCTCTGTCTCCTAGTGAAGCAGGTGAGGCAGGGCTACTCACAGGGGAACAGTAGTAAGTAAAAACCATCGTAACTATCCTTTATTGAACCTACTCTGGGCTCACTCTGGTGTTACACACTGTACATCCATTTCCCTCTAAAGTCCAAGCAAGGGGGAAACAATTGTCCCCAGTTATTAAACAAAGATTCCAGAGCTCACAAGAATTCATATTTATCTAGATAGCTCTTTAGACTAGTTTTAAGACATTTTCATATTTCATTTCACATATTTTTAATAACCTTTTTAGATAGATAGAGGAGGTATTTTCTTCATGTTAAAGGTGATGAATTTAGCCCAAAGAGATTACATGACTTGCCCACAGTCACATGGCCGGTAAGTGACAACTGCTGGTAGGATGAAGATTCCAGAGCCCATCTCCATCCATCTCTAACACTGCAATGTGGATTACAGTGAATCGGACTTGTGTGTCTCCTGGAGGTTAGTCTGACTTTCTGAGCCTGTTTGATTGAACTTCCTTAAGTAGTATCTGAATATTTAAAGGCCAGTTGCTCACCTTCCCCTACATTTCCTGCCCGCAACCAAAGTCAAAGAAAAAATGTGCTGGCCTAGTTGGCAAGAGTGGGATGAGCCCACCAGGGCTGTCCCTCGGCTCTGGAGCCTCCAGCACAAGGTGGGAGTAGGAGAGCCTGTGACTCTGGTGGTTCCAGGCAGTTCCCAATGGGGGGCACTCACAGCCAGTATTCTACTGAGCTTTCTCCTGCACAACAAACCACTTTAAGAGCTCAAACTTCAATATACATCAACTACATTTTAAAAAAAAAAAAATGGAATTGGGAAGATTGCGATACTTTTTTTAAATATCATGATAAAATACCCATAACATAAAAGTTAACATCTGAACCACTTTTAAGTGTAGAGTTCAGTAGTGTTATGTGTATTTGCGTTGTTGTGCAACCAGTCTCAAGAAGTCTTTTCTTCTTGGAAAACTGAAATTCTACACCCATTAAACAACAACTCCCTGTCTCTCTCCCCCAGCCCCAGCCCCTGCAACCACCATTCTACTTTTAGCTCTATGAATTTGATGACTCTAGGGACCTCTTCTAAGTGGAATCAGCCTGATTTGTCCTTTTGCAGTTGGCTTATTTCACTTAGCATCATGTCCTCAAGGTTATTCATGTTGTAGCACATGTTACAATTTCCTTCCTTTTTAAGGCGGAAGAATATTTTGTTTATCCATTCATCCATAAACAGTTACTTGGGTTGCTTCCACTCTTCAGCTATTGTTACTAATGCTACGAACATGGATGTACAAATCTCTCTTCAGGACTTTGCTTTCAACTCCTTTGGGTATATATATATATACAGAAGTGTAATCACTGGAGCGTCTGGTAATTCTATTACACACCACCTACTGTAGCCGCTGCGCCATTTTACATTCCCACTAGCAGTGCACGAGTGTTCCAGCTTCTCTACATCTTCACCAACACCTGTTATTTTCTGGGGGTTTTGGGAGGAGCCACCCTAATGGGCATGAGATGATCTCTTATTGTGGTTTTGGTTTGCATTTTCCCAAAGATTGAATGAAAGATGTTGAGCATCTGTTCATGTTCTTGTTGGCCATTTATATATCTTCTTTGGAGAAATGCCTATTCACATCCCTTGCCCATTTTGAATCAGGTTGTTTGGTTTCTTGTTAATGAGTTGTAGGAGTTATTTATTTATCAGATATATAATTTGCTAATATTTTCTCCCATTCTGTATGTTGCCTTTCGTTCCGTTGATTGTGTCCTTTGATGCACAGTTTTTTTTTTAAGATTTTATTTTTTTAGTAATCTCCACACCTACCATGGGGCTCGACCTCACAACCCCAAGATCAAGAGTCGCGTGCTCCACTGACTGAGCCAGACAGGCACCCTGATGCACAGAAGCTTTTTATTTTGATATAGTCTAATTTATCTGTTTTTGCTTTCGTTCCCTGTGGGGGTTTTTTTGAAGATTTTATTTATTTATTTGACAGAGAGAGACAGCTAGAGAGGGAACACAAACAGGGTGAGTGGGAGAGAGAAGCAGGCTCCCCTGCTGAGCAGAGAGCCCGATGCGGGGCTCCATCCCAGGACCCTGGGATCATGACCTGTGCCGAAGGCAGACGCTTAACGACTGAGCCACCCATGCGCCCCGTGTTCCCTGTGTTTTAATGTCATGTCCAAGAAACCACTGCCAAATCCAATGTCATGAAGCTTTTCTCCTATTTTCTTTAAGAATTTTATAGTTTTAGTTCTTACATTTAGGTCTTTATTCATTTTGACCAATTTTTGTATATGGTGCAAAGTAAGGGTCCAGTTTCATTCTTTTGCATGTGGATATGTGGTTTTCCCAATACCATTTGTTGGAAAGACTGTTTTTTCCCCAGCTGAATGGTCTTGACACCCTTGTCAAAAATCATTTGACCATCTATGTAAGAGTTTATTTCTGGGCCCTCTATTCTATTCCATTGGTCTATATGTCTGTCTTTATGCCAGTACCACACTGTTTCTATCACTGTGACTTTGTAATAAGTTTTTAAATTAGGAAGTGTGAGACCTCTAACTTGGCTCTTTTTCAAGATTGTTTTGCCTATTGAGGAAACCTTGAGATTCCATGTGAATTTTAGGATGGGTATTTCTATTTCTGTAAAAAAAAAAAAGCCAATGCCATTAGGACTTTGATAGGGGTTGCTTTAAATCTGTAGATCACTGCGGGTGGTACTGACATCTTAACCATATTGAGTCTTCTGTAGATTGTTTTACATTTTAGCCTCTTCTAGTCTTTTAGCCAAGCTGTGGATAAGGTTCCTGGGGATACACATTGAATAACTGAGTAACGGGGAAATGTTTTCTACACGACTTCAGAAACAGGGCCTTGGCAAGTCTAGAAGATGGAGAGAGGGTAGAGAGGAGTTGTTATGGGGTCAGGCCCTTGACGGGCTGCCTGCTAGCAGGGATTGGCGGTTGTGGAAGCACACCATTCAAATACAGTGGGAGATACCCTGTAACAGCAACAGGGCCCATGGTGTTTCCTAAGCTTCAAGCTTCATGGTGACAGCACACTTCTAGGTGATTTCACACTTACTTTGCCTGTGAACTTAAGGTCCGAAGAGCCCTGGGAGGGTCTCCAAGAGATCAGGACAGGTCATGCACTAGCTTGGAAGTGCTGGGGGAAAATGTCTTTGAAAAGTCTACTTTTCTAAATTGTTCTTTTGAAGCCCCCAAATGGTCCAGTGTGGTAAGGAAGATGTATGGTAAAGATGAGCATCTCTTGGGCGCCTGGGTGGCTCAGTTGGTTAAGCGACTGCCTTCAGCTCAGGTCATGATCCTGGAGTCCCGGGATCGAGTCCCACATCGGGCTCCCTGCTCGGCGGGGAGTCTGCTTCTCCCTCTGACCCTCTTCCCTCTCGTGCTATCTCTCATTCTCTCTCTCTCAAATAAATAAATAAATAAATCTTAAAAAAAAAAAAAGATGAGCGTCTCTCTTTTTTTTTTGTCAACTACTAAGTGCAAACAACAATTATAAAAGTTATAATCCGTATTCTCCCTTGGGGATTTTTCTAACTGGAGGCAAATCCCTGATTTTAGGCCTGTGGGGTTCCAAACTGTTTTGAGCAGTGGCATTCATGTAGAGCTTCTTTAAAGCATGTCAGTCAAGTGGTCTGGAGTTCAAAAAGCTGAATCTTGCCTCTGTCTGATATTAGTGTGACAGGTCGTTCAACTTCAGCCTCCTCCTCTGGACAATGGAGGTAATAACACACCTGCCAAACCCTAATTCAAGGATTCTGTGAACATTGAATGACATAACATACATAAATGTGTTTTCTAAACTATAAAAGGCTATAAAATATTATCTCAATTAGGGTCACTTTTTTTTTGAGAGAGAGAGAGCGCGGTCACATGCAGGAGGAGGGGCAGAGGGAAAGGAAAAGAGAGAATCATAAGTAGACTCCACGCTCAGCACAGAGCATGACACGGGGCTTGATCCCACGACCCTGAGATCATGATCTGAGCTGAAATCAAGAGTCGGACACTTAACCAACTGAGCCACCCAGGTGCCCCAGAGTCACTCATTTTTTTTTTAAGATTTTATTTTATTTATTTGACAGAGAGAGAACACGAGAGAGGGAACACAAGCAGGGGGCATGGAAGAGGGAGAAGCAGGCCTCCCGCTGGGCAGGGAGCCCGATGCAGGGCTCGATCCCAGGACCCTGGGATCATCACCTGAGCCGAAGGCAGTCACTCATTTTTTTTTTAATCACACCTCACCCAAATCTGTAAATTCCGATTTGGTCAAACCTTTCTCCTTTGCTTATAACCCAGGTAGCATGAAGTAAAGGTTTTACATGGCTAGTGGTCTGTCCCTGGCCTTTGGCATATATGAATTCAAAAACCCATATGATTTCCCCCAAAGTAAAGCAGAACTCCCCCTCCCACTGTGGGCCCCATTCAGACAGGCATTAGAATGTGGAAGAGGGGCACCTAGGTAGCTCAGTCGGTTAAGTCTGCCTTGGGCTCAGGTCATGATCTCAGGGTCCTGGGATCAAGCCTCAGCTCCCAGTTCAGTGCAGAGCCTGCTTCTCCCTCCCCCTCTGCCCCTCCCCTGCTTGTGCTCTCTCTCTGTCTCTCGATCTCTCTTTCAAATAAATAAAATCTTAAAAGAAAAAAAAGGAATGTGGCAGAGAAGAAAGCTTACTGGAACTCAGGAGTGAGAAAGAGTCATTAGCGTGGTGACCAGGCAGTTTCAACCAATGTTAAAATTCATGATGCCATTTCAAAAAATACACAAGCGCCCAGTTTCATTAATGAACTGATGACCTACCTTGAGAGGTCTACAAAAACAGTCTTTTACACACTGCTGGGAGGAGTTTGCAAAGGTCAAGCATGGTATTGATTTGTCCCTGGGTACAGTGACCTTGGAAGATTCTAATGTCCCTTACTTAGGCTGTATGCAAGGGAACACATCCAACCTTCTAAAGCAACTACTTGCTTTAAACTTGACCAGAACAAAGATGCTAAAAATACACAGAATGAGCCGCTCTTGATTCATTTATGCTCCTTCAGGGACCCCATTGTTTGTAGAGCCCCCTCCAAATTTACAGGCAAGGAATTAATTCGAAATTTGGCAAAGACAGCTGAAGCTGACATTCTCATCCTGGTGGCTGCTCTCAGCTGGGATGAGCGCTCATCCCAACTCAATCCCAAGATGCAGCGAGAGCCAGCTTCCGCAAAATATAATGGTCTCTCACACCACCCACTTCCATTCCCACTGTCTTGCCCTCCTCTCCTGGCCCTGTTTGGCCCACCAGGCATCTGGCGTGAGCCCCGTCCTGAAGGAGAAGTCCACGAGGGTGAAGTCACCAGGCTTTGGAGCCACACACAGCTGACTCTGGACTGTCATTAACAGTCCTCAGTGGCTTTGGGCAAGTTAACCTCCCTGAACCTCCATTTCCTCTTACTCAGAAGAGAGATAATACTTCCCAGCAGGAAAAGGGCTAAACGGGCTAAAGGGATGGCTGTAGGTAAAGCCTGTTTGCTTGCAGGATGCCAACCGCCCCTACAGGACCCTCGTGCTCTAATAGGGATCCCCTGAATACCCAAAGGCTATGAAGAACCCAATTCTGCTGTGGTATAATTCCAGGGATACCAGCAGGGTGATGCTGGGGGCAGGGAGGTGTCCCCAAGTCTCTGTGAGTCATTCAGACAAGGGCAGAGTGCTCTCTGGTCACGTGGTGTTAATGGTAAACCACAGTCTCATGAAAAAGAGGCAGAGCTGGGACACAGAGAGCTACTCCAGAGGACTTTCTGAAGATAGATATAGATCATAGTGCTTTGGAAAGTGATTAAATAGTATTTCATTCAGACATTTCAGAAACTTTTAGGTACTAGAACCATTAGTGGTACAGGCCAATTCCAAATGTAATGACGGCTCCACAGCGTTTTATGTAGGAAGGGAGCGTGGGAGGAAGGTCCGGTCAAACCCCCTTGTCTTGGAAATGGCTTGGTAGAACAGCTTTTCAAACTATTATTTTGTGAAGAATTGGCCTGGAGATTTTCTTAAAGTGCGAGACTGATTCAGCGGGGTCAGGGATGGTGCCTGGCGCTGCCTTTCTCACTCGCTCCCAAATGATGCCTGTGCCACTGGTCTGTGGGCCACGCTTGGGGAATCCGTGCGGAAGCCAAAACTACCCCTCAGTTCTGCACTTATTTTGACGCCAGCTCCAGCTCAGATACCCATTATCTCTGTTTGCCCCTGAATGAGTCCTGGAATTATCTTTCCTGTCTTCAGGAGTGGCCCCCAAATTCCTACAATTAGAAAAATCACCTTATCTTCTCACGCAGACCCCACCGGAAACTGCCCCAGGGAGCCGAACTCTAACCGAACCCCAGGCTGCCTCCCAAGCTCGCCCTCTGCTGGTAGACACGAGTCATTTCCTTCTACACCCAGCCTTTCACGCTGCTGAAGCGCTCATTTTTGTTTTCCAATTAATACAGGCAGAAAAGGTGCATGACATAATCCAGAGGTTTGTTTCACTTTTCTAGATTTTGGAGAGTTTTCTCACCCTGTTCCTTCAAGTACATCCTGTAGAGGGGGTAGATAAATGTTTGATCAACCCTTACTAGCAACTTACTGTTCTGTGGTGCCTAAAAGTCTTCCTCCCCCCAATTTTGTTCCCATCCCTCCCAGGCACTTTCCACAGTGGGGCGGCAAGCCTTCATTTACTCACAGCTTGACCACCGCAAGATGACGAGAGGGAGCAAGTTTCTTGGTGGTTGTGGTATGGGAGGCGACACAGACACAGAGACATTAGGAGCCAAAGAACGTTTCAGAGAAAGATTGGGAGATTCCTGCTGCTGATCATATCATCATCATTTATTCACTGAAACATTTCTTAATCACCTACCTACTATCTGCAAGACTTGGGACCAGGAGTCAAGCATTCATAACCCTGCACAAAGAGATTGTAGCCTAATAGAAATAAGCCTAATAGCTAACACTTATTAAGTACCATATGCCAAACAACATACTTACATTATTTTATTTAATTTTACTTACTCCTTACAGCAATCTGTGATCATCCTCATGGTACAAATGAGAAAATGAGGGGCACCTGACTGGCTCAGTCAGTAGAGCATGTGACTCAATTTCAGGGTCGTGAGTTCAAGCCCCACATTGGGCGTGAAGCCTACTTTAAAAAAAAAGAAAGGAAATTGGGGTGCAGAGAAGTTGACTGATGCTTTCAGTTAATGACAGAGTCAGATAGCTTAAAATTACAATTTGTTATTTTCTCTAATAGGGCTCTGGGGTTTGATGGGCTTGGCTGGCTGGTTCTCACTTGAGGTCCTTTGTACAGTTGACTTTGTACAGTCAGATAGTGGCTAAGGCTAGGGTACATATCTGGAGCCAGGGCTGGGATGTCTAAAACAATCAAGAGCTAGCCAGGCATCTCTGTTTGCAAGGCCTCTCTGAGTGGCGAGCTTGGGCTTCCTCACAGCTTAGCAGTCAGAATAGTTGGACATCTTAGATGATAGTTGATCAGGCCCAAACTGCAAAATTTCTCATGATCTAAAAGCATATGGCATCATTTCCATTATATTCCCTTGGTCCAAGTGGCTGCAGATCAGCTCAGTTTCGAGGAGGTAGAGTTCTGAGCTCTTTGTCTCAGTGGAGGAAGAGCTTCAAGTACACCAAGGCAAGGAACTGATGAAGACCACCTTAGAGAACGTCACCACACCTGAAGCAGCCTGACTCCAACCTTTGTGCCTTCAACCCTTATGCTCCGCTGACCCTGCATCAAACAGACACAGGCACACCGTGCTCCTAGTGGTCTCGTAGGATACAACCCGGTACAAAGAAGGAAGTGATTAGCTCTGCCTCAGTAGTTCAGGGAAGGCTTTCCAGAGGAAACACCCATACGCATACACACACAGATGTCCCCTCAGTATGGAGGACAGATTGTGACTGCAGTAGGTAGCATACTATATGATCCCTACATTTTGTGAGGTGAGAAAAGCTGAGGGCAAGAGATAGCTCTAAGGCAGCACATGGAAAACCACCAACCTAGAAAACAGGAGCCATGAAGTCCAGTCTCAACTCTGCCATGGTGTAGCTGGGGGACCTTGAGAAGAACCAGAAGGCCAGGAAAGGAAAGAACTAGAGGTCTTTCCAGAACATCACAGAGTGGAATTTCTGACCATGTTGTGCTCCCCCACCCCCAGATTGGAGACCCGCACTTGGTGATCTGTATGGACTGCTCAGCAGACACCATGACTAACCGCCTTCTCCAGCGGAGCCAGAACAGCCCTTGCGCAGAAGACGCCGCCACCATCGCCAAGCGCCTTGAAACCTACTACCGAGCGTCCATCCCTGCGATTGCGTACTATGAGAAAAAAACACAGCTACGTAAGGTGAAACATCTCGCTCCCCTCCTCCAAAATGAGCCAACTTCCTTTTTTTTTTTTTTTTTTTTTTTTTTTTTTTTTTTTGAGAAAAAAAAACGGGAAATTTTGGTCAAGGGTTCTGGGAATTCGAGCTGCATACAGCTGCACAGTTTCACCTTTGTATAAATCAAAATTAAATATCTGTCATCATACAGACCACAAAAAGTTGGTCACAGAGTTTTCACAGATGCCCTTATAGTTGCTGAAAACAACTCCTTTTTCCAAAATAGAGAGAGGGAGGGTGGGGGGCAGGAGGCGGCAGGGAGACATGGACGAGACATAGATTCTGCCTTCTAGACCTCAGCTGAACAGGATGAACCAAAAGGTCTCTTCTAGGTCTAAGATTCAGTGACTTTGAATTTCTAGACTTTTACATAGGTCATAATTGGCATAATTTCCTACGGTAACTGTTACTGAGAAAAGCAGCAGACGGGGCCAGGAGAGCAGGTAGTTTGGTGCCACAGTGAAGAGACTGTGGGGAAATGGGTCGCGTCAACCTAACAATCACAAGTGATAATCCCTGGTGAATCACCATTTATTTCATGAATTTGGGAAAACTACCCAGTCCCCCTCCATCCACTCTTCTAAGCATGCATGAAGCCCCTCCTGTGGGCTATCCATTGCCCTAGTGGTTTAGATATGGATCATAGACGCAGTTCTTGCCTCCTAGAGCTTCAGGGTTTAGTAGGGGCGATAGACAAGCCTCTGATCACGGTATGGGGACAACGTGAGCACAGAGCGAGTTCCAGCGGCTCTTCAACCAGTCTGAGGGGAAAGGAAGAGCATTGAGGAAGGTCACCGGAGGACAACTAAGCTGAGCCTCAAAGAGGGAGTGATGGGAGGGGAGCAGGGCACCCCACACAGAAGGAGCCCCAAGTGAAGAAGGTCAGGCGGAACAGGGAACTCGGCTTGGCTAGGACATAAGGTGCCAAGGAAAAGAGGAACAAGAGATGGGGATGGAGAGGGAAGCATGGACCAGATCAAGATGAACCTTATGCGGAAGCAAGTAACTGTCCTGTGGTGGATGGGAGGGGGGGCAGACACAGTCAGGAGTTAAGACAGAACGCTCAGTGCATCCACCTTGCGGAGGATGGATCCGAGAAGGCAAGGCTAGGAGACCACTCCTGGGGAGGCTGGGTGCCAAAGCACAGAAGAGAGTGCGAACCCCTACTTTCTGTTGGTCACAGGGAGTTCAGAGGAGGCATCAATTAGTAAATAACCAACTTGTCTCTGAGGCAGCTACATCATCCGTTCCTTGGCAGAAACAACTGATAATGAATTCTCATCTTCTACACCTGTTAATGGTCCATTTTCCAGAATCCTAAGAACATAGCCCTGGGTGTAGAGGTCTGAAAGGTGTCCCTTGATTTAACGCAGGGATGTCAAATATGGGGCATGAGAGCCCCCATCCCCCACTTCCCTTCCGTGGCAGACATTGCTGACCACTCGTTCCGGGGGCCCTCGGAGTGCTTGTTAACACAGCACTCCAGGCGGCTCCTAGCAATTCATGGGACCTGATCTGCAAGAGGAAACCTACATGCTGTGCTTTGTGTAGCATTTGGCTGCCACGTAGAACAAACGCTTACATTCAACACATGCAAAAAAAGAAAGTACATTATGTAAGAGCAGGGTCTTCAGAATTCAGGGTTGCAAAAGCCTTTACAAGATTGGTGATTTCTACCCTTTGTGCAGCCTGGAACACATAAGAAAATTGTCCAGATAGAAGAGAATTTCTTCCACTTTCGATTTGTAGAGGTGAAAAAAAAATCGCTAAATCATTCAGAGTTTAACCACTTGCAGAGTCAGAAAATCCCTTTTATCTCCCTCTGGTCTCATTCCAACCTAAGTTCTACACTCACCGGTGATTGGCACACGGATACAGGACCAAGTTCTCAGATAAATCTGAGTCCTGGAATCCTCCTTAGAAATATCTAAGTTAGTGGAAAATGAAGTTTCCAGTTCCATTTGACTCATCTCGTCAGCTTTCCCTGCATTTTGAGATGCTGGCAGCTGGGTCTGTGGTGAGGTCACGTTTATGATCCGCTTAGCAAATATTTAAGACCGCTCCAGCCCTGACTCCAGAGCGGTGCGGCTCCAGCCCACAGGACCTGCAGAGGGCCTCTCAGAGGAAGTGCCTCTGCCCAAAAACCAGATGAATGCGCCCCCCTCCCCAACCTTGCCCAGGGACAGCAGGGGCCCTCAGAGTGCTGGGCGGCGCAGGGAGGTGAGACTCGGTGCAGGTGCCCCCGTGGGGGGTGCCAGCAGCTGGGCCACAGAAGTGGGGACTGGAGGAGAAGCAGGGGCAAGTGACAGGCTTGTTTTCCGTGGGGGATGGGGAACGCCTCTGCGCTCCTGGGCTCTGTCTTCTTGCAACAGCTTCATCTCCCCCCTCCCTGGATTCTCCGAGACAGTTTGTGGCTCGTCCCTGTGATGCTCTTTGGATGGTTAGCACCTCCTCCCCGTCTGGTTGGTTTATGGACCCTCAGGCAGGGCTGTGTACCATGCAGGTGGGCCCCTGGATCATTTCAGGAGTTTTCTTAAAAGTAGGTAGGAGTGGTGCAGGCGCTCCAAGATGCAAGCAAACCAGCAGCTCGGTGAGATTTCCTCAGGAATTCGAGCCACGTCATGGTCCAGCCCAGAAGTAGAGCGCCCTGCACCAGCGCTTCCTTCAGGCCTCAGGGTTGCCCAGGTACGCTGAGGATGAATCCGTCAGCTAACACCCCTGCCTAGGGACAGGCAGTCCTTTGGGCCCCCAGCTAGCCAAAAAAAAAAAAAAAAAAAAAATGTGCAATGAAATTTCAAAGTTAACAAAAAAGCGAAGTGGAATTGATACAGCCACTCTTTATGCCCTTATGATGCCAGCATTATACAAAACAGAACTTCTGATAATGTAAACCACAGGCTAGAGACGAATGTGAGACAAATGATCCCCCCACTTCCCAGCCCTTTCCCTTCTCTCATTAAGGCAGCTTTGCTCTGCACCTGGGGAAGCGCTAGAACAGAACTTTCCCCCATTCCTCTCCCCCTGCACTGTGCTCGGGGCAGACAGCCTTCTTCAGCTGCGGGCGCTGCCGACTCACCCAGTCTGGACAGCTGCCTCAGAGACTTGCCCAACGCGCAGTATGACAGCCACACCCAACTCGCTGGGACCGACCCCTAAAAGGAAGCTTTTTTCCCTCTGAGTCAGAGAAGTCATTATTTAAAAAAAAAAAAAAAAACCTGAAATGTAGCATTTCAGGGTAAAAAGCGTAGCATCTGGCCAAAGACCCCTGGCCGAGAAAATACCATCCTGGGCAGTAGGAAGCCTGAGGCACGGTGGTGTGATGGAGCTTTGTGAATCTGGATGAGGGATTTCACTGCCTAACCTCGCCCTTCTTCACCCTCAACTAAGATGGTTGGACAGAGTAGGACCTCCTGGAATCCTGCAGGTCTATCACTATGATTCTTGGGAATTGGGAAAATAGATAAATAAATAAATATATATATATGTATGTATATATAATTTTTTAATCATAAAAGTAACACGGACTTATTTTAGACAATATAGCAAGCTAGGCTCTTATGAAGTCTTATCATATGAAGTCACTCAGAGGCACACATTCGGGAGTATTTCTTCCAAATCTTGTTGCTGTGTATTTTATTTTATTTTATTTTATTTTTAAGATTTTATTTATTTATTTGAGAGAGAGAGAATGAGAGATAGCACGAGAGAGAAGAGGGTCAGAGGGAGAAGCAGATTCCCCGCTGAGCAGGGAGCCCGATGCGGGACTCGATCCCGGGACTCCAGGATCATGACCTGAGCCTAAGGCAGTCGCTCAACCAACTGAGCCACCCAGGCGCCCTGTTGCTGTGTATTTTAAAAACATGACTGTAACCATAGGTATATTGACTGATTAGGGCTTCTCGGTTGTAGGTAAGAGGCACCAACTCCAGCTGGCCTAACCCAAAACCCAAAACACTATTAAGGTGATGCAACCCACAGCTGAAACCCAGCAGGCCCAGGCAGGCTGTGGGACCAGGTCCCTCTTGCTTTGCACACATGCTTTCTTCTCTCACTCATCCAGATTTTTCCTTCTCTGGCCCAGAAGCCAGAATATGGCCACCCTGCAAATTCCACATCCACGTGTTACCACAACAGTTCCAAATTCCAGACAGAAATGTTCTGACTGGCCTTGCTTTCCTCAGGGTCTTCTCCCTGGTCCTGTCAACTCTGGCCAGGCAGGTGGGGGTCACATGGGACTTTTTCATTTGTTCCGTGGATATTTTGTTGAGTGCGGACTATACGTCAGATACTATTCTTGGTCCTAGGGACACAGAAATAAACACAATAGACTGAAAAGAGAAAAATGTTAGACAAGAAAGTAAAATAATTGCTGATAGGATAATCTCTATGAATAAAAACAGAATGAGTTGTTGGCGGGGGGAGGGAGGGCGTATTTTAGGTGGGTGTTTGGAGGGGCGCCTGGGTGGCTCAGTCGCTAAGCATCTGCCTTCAGCTCAGGTCATGATCCCAGGGTCCTGGGATCGAGCCCTGCATCGGGCTCCCTGCTCAACGGGAAGCCTGCTTCTCCCTCTCCCACTCCCCCTGCTTGTGTTCCCTCTCTCGCTGTGTCTCTGTCAAATAAATAAATAAATAAAATCTTTAGGTGGGTGTTTGGAAAGTGTCTGAAGGGGTAGCACTTGATTTAAAACCTGGCCCATATACACATGGCTGCCGGGGACTCTTTCCTGGGAATTGGGTGGGCGATAAGGAATTCCCAGGAGAGAAGGGCTTGTTGGGGGAGCCGGTTATCCCCCAGAAATAGCTACCTCAAGTGGCATAAACAGAATTGTATAAATTAATATTTCAAGCTTCTTTTTGCCAAGTATAAACGTAACAACTACTTTTTTAAAAAGACACAAACTAGAAAATGTAAGAGTATAGAGATAAGAATCTTCCCCCCAAACCACTAATGAACACTTTGATA